CGCTGTCGAAATCCCACAAGGAAGACCCCCCCGACGGCGGCGACAGCCCCGCGTGGAGGGCGTGGAGGACGCGTCGCTGCTGGCGGGCGTCGAGGGTGAGCCCCCCCCGGGCCCGGGCGCCCGCCCCAGCCCGCACAGCACACTCGACGCGAGGATCGCCACCCGCTCCCCCTCCCACGCCGCCGCCCGCTCCCAGCGGCCCTGCAGAAGCCCCGAAAACCCCCCGTCGCCCTCCTTTTCTTTCTCATCGCTCGCCCTTTTGCTGTCCTCCTTTTCGCTCTCGGGGTCGTCCCCCTCCTCCCCCAGGGCGGCTGGCCGCAGGGGCTCCACGAGGACCGATCGCCCGCGCCGCAACCGACGCGGGTTCGCCATTTTTGCAAAATGTTCACTTTTGGGTTCGCTTTTTTTTTCATTTTTGCCGTTCGAGTCCATTCCGTCCTCCGAAAAGGACGTCTCGGGGCCTTCCGCCCCCCCCTGCACCACCGCCAGGGCAAATCGCCAGCGGACAGGCGAGGCGGCCGACGACGGCGAGCCGTCCTTCACCCCGTCGATGAGTTCGTACGCGACGAGTTGATTTTCGCCCATCAGGACGGGATGCGCGGCGGGGTCGAACGTTAAATTGTTCATCGCTAAACAATTAACACCTAGAATAAAAGATAGAAAAATAAAATAAAAAGAAAGAAAAAAAGAGACTATAAAGAACCTAATTCTTGCGTGGGGAAGCGTGAAGAAGCCAATACTTAGACTTTTGATAATGGTTAAGTTGTCCCCACCATCCACTACCAAAACTTCAAACCTAAAGTGGGCGTCCGATGAGTCAATTGGGTGAGAAAGGAAAGAAGGCAAAGAAGAGACCTTTAACTAGAATAGCAGGAATGGAAATAGAGCTGCTAAAAGGACATTTTCATTGCATTAGGGTAACGACTACTAGAGTGTCCTTTCTTTCCCCTCTTCAATACAGTTCTTTTTCCTTGGAATTTTAAGTCGTCTTAAAAAGGAAAAAAAAAACGCGGAGAGTGAGAAAACATAGATATTATGATTCGATGTGAGCTGATTAATAAGAGGAAGGGAGAGGGGAAAATAACCCCAATAGTTATAAACAGCATCAAAAGTGATGATCGGATTAGAAAAAAAGGCTGTGCTTTGTGGAGTAATTAAAGCTGAGCTTGTAGAGATGTCCAGTATCTCCCTAAGGAAAGTGATGGGGAACCACAATAAAAAGGAAATGAAATAAAATATTCGCCTGACGATAAAACGTTTTTAGTCTTCAACCATCAAAGTCCTGTGGGTATATATTTCTTCCAATTTCCTCACATTGCCTCTTTTATCTCAGGTATTAGCATCTTGATTTTTCTTTTAAATGGGTCTTTAGTTCTGTAAAAGACCGATATTCTTTTTTGTAATTCGTGCGACCGCCTCGCTAACAACGCGCACGCGATACGAAAGTCGAAGCACCTCTTTGGTTTTCCGCATCGCCGCCTCGCGAAGAAGTTTTTCCTTTTTTTTCAAAAACGTCTCGGCCGCCTCGACACTCATCTCGAGAATTACCCCACAGCCGATATTCACCCGCACCCGGCTCGCATCCTTCACGACAGCAGCCGTGTAGAAATGATTCCCAAAGTTTACTAAAATCTTACTACGAAACCGACCCGAGATGATAGTACGATTAACATGGGTATTGATATCTTTACCAGCCCCCGAGTCGTTTGTTGCGGGTGAAGAGGAGGATGCGTTGATAAAGCTTTGCTCTCGCGAAAGGCCGCGCATTTCGTGAAATAGCCGCCGTAGCTGCGCGCATTGGGAGGCTAACGAGGAGAATAAATCACGTTGACGGAGCTCTTCCTGCAGGGCGACTTTAAGAACGGATTCAATAAATTGGTCTAAATATAACACCCCCGCAGGGGCATCCAATCTCGGAGGCTCTTGCATCGAATCTTGAGCAGACAACATTTCTAAATGTAGAAGATAGTTCGGAATTTACGCAGGTAATAAGTACTATCAAGACTAACAATTATTAAACCTATTGCGTGGAGTCAACGTGAGAATAAGTTCTCTCCCTCCCTCGTATGGTTTTAAACAAATTCAGGTAACAATCACACCACCTAAAGAGCCTGTAAAGGGATAAAAAGAAAATCATGTAGGATGCACAACAGAATATTTTAGTCTTCGTTTCTAAATATCATTTGGGGGGATTTTTTAATCATTCCCCACTATGACAACTATACTTCTGAATAGGTAATTTTTAAAAATATTTCGGATATGTGATACATCGGCCATGGATTCTTGCCGTTTTCTTTTGACCTTCCTAACGAACAGGTGGAAAAAATAAAATACAAAAGAGAAAGGCAGAGATAGTGTATGCATGTTCAGATTCCCAAGTATCCCCCCATCCTTCCTCTAAATTCGCTCGTCTTCGTCATGTCTTTTTTCCCGTCTTTTTTGCAATTTAAAGATCACCCCCATACCCGTTGTTCCAACCCTCGACCTGCAGCTTCACCTCCATCGCCTGTTCGTCCAACACGAAGCGTGCGATAATCCGGCGGTCGATTCCATGTTTTTCCAAATACCCCAAGACCTCCGCGCGGAGGTGGTTAATCATGCGGCGCAAGGCGTGCGCATTCTCCCTACCATCCCACTCCGGCCGCAGCCGCTGGACGAGAAAGGAAACGGCGGCCTCGTCGATGCTGCTCGCCATCACGGCGTCGTGAAAACTCGAGTCCGCGAGCTCGCAGGGGAACTCCGCGATGGCCCCGCGGACGACCGCCTCGGCCGTTCGCGCGTTAAAGGGCAGGTAGGCGAAGGTGTGGGTGTAGGCCGGGAGGAGGGCGCCGTAGAGCCCCACGAAGGACCCTCGCACCATCTGCTCGATCTCCTGCAGCGACTTCCCGCGGGTCCGCCCCTGCTTCCCGAGGTCCGTGGTGATGAAGACGAGGAGCTGGGAGACCGGCGGGGCCTCGCGTTCGCTCCTTTCCCGATGGTTATTCCCCTTCGGGTCGTCCTCGGCGTAGTGGGGGTAGAGCTGCTCGGGGAAGTGGGTACCGCGGCCGAAGAGGGGGGCGAGGGCGGCGACAAGCCCGGGGTCCATCGCCGTGAGGTCGTCGATCAGGACGACGCCGCGGGGGAAGTCGCGCATATGGCGCGTGATCCGCGCGACGACGTCGCGCCGCGCGGCGGGGAGCGGCAGCCCGTCAAA